GCTATATAAAAATCATTGTTACAGAGGAAATTTGAGTGAAAAATTGTGGATTCATAATTTGTTAACCACTTTAATTTGAATCTTTGTGAGAGAAAATAAAGAAAGAAGATAATAATTAAGCAATATTTCAAAAGAAAAACCAATTGGCTTCAGAAAGTTGGTGAAATTCTTCATTGTTTCCATTGTAAGGGTTAGCCAAATTTTCCCCAGAATCATTAAGGAATGCTAGGGCTGAATTGCCCTGTGATTTAATCCATTGGTATAAATTCTCTTTATCTAATCTCTTAATTAAAACCAATAAGGAAGGATTGTTTGTTTATATATAGAATCTGAAATCCTTCATATTCATAATTGAGATGACATTTCTTTTTCTTTCTTCAAAGTTAGAAAGTCTACAGGAGGTTCCAATTTGGTCCAAGCATGGGCTTTCCAGATTTCTGGGAAAATGAATTCAGAGGAACGGTTCAGGGACACCTGGGCAAGAATTTCAAACGAGAGTGTTGCTGGGCTAACTCAATATAATCCAAGAATCAGGAGAGCCAGTATCTATGGACATTTTCTAAACAGAATCACATAAATGTTTAGTGTGAGATGTTCTGGAATGGTGATGTAAACATGAATATAAAAGGGCAATGGCCCAGCAAGAAATCAGTTTCTTTCTCAAGATCCTGCTTGTAAGGAAAACATCACATCATTGCTCTTGCTTTTAAGGAAACCAAAGATCAAAGGAAAATCTATTCCCAGACACACTACATCTGGTTCTGCTCTGTTGGTCTGCTAATTTCCATTATTAAATTTTGTATCCTTGGCTAAAGGATATATCTACAACTTAGAGGGGGTCTTATGTATGTACATGATTTCTTTTTTGCCAACCCATAAACCATCCACAACTGGAAACTACTACTCTATATGTGCAGTTGAGTAATAATTTAGGCAAGTGTATTATGAAGTGAAATTAGCTGATATGTGTTAGTGATCCTTAAAAGTTAGTAACCTAAAAAGTTATACAAATACTTTCCTCCTCTATGTTTTTAAGGAGTAGATAGTAGTATAAACACATGTGTCTGGGATACATGTATTTTCTTGTCTCAGTGGGTGCAGCATTTTATGTTAAGGAGTATGATCCTAGGTTATTGCTGGCTATTACTAGAGCATTATATGGCTTTGCTAGACTGTGAGAGATTAGCATACTCCTAGGGCATGATTTACATACCTGGCTTTGTACTTTATGAGCTGGTTATTAATGTGTGTAGTATGTGTTTAGAAGAAGTTAGGTGAAGCTAGGCTTTTCTCTAAAGATCAGGTCTATAATGTAAAAAATGTAGTATAAATAAGAATGTTCATGTGTCATAGGGGGATACAGAGGTTTGATTTATAAGAAGCCTATTGTCAACCTAGCAACCAATAAGAACAACCAATTGTCCTAGGACAGAAGAAGTCAGTTATCTTATGAAACAACATACAAATGAACTCTTGAAACAGCCAAAGAGACTTGGAAGAAAATTATTAGAATACAATTCAAAAGATATAGGAGTAATAATGAGTAGGAATAGTTCAGTTTAACTTTTAAACTCAGGGCAGAAGTATCAGTTTTAAGACGGAAATCCAAGAAGACATTGCTAATGAGTCTTACATAGCCACTGATGGAGATAAAATCTTGCAAATAATAATCTAAATGGATGATAGTGCTGCAGTTGGCACCCTTAACAATAATCTCAAAGGAAGATAGTGCCAACTTCATTTTTGTTGATCCAATCAATAATTATTGAATTATTGAATGATTGAATGATTCCCTATGAATGGTTTATTACCTGATAAGCAATATTAAGAACCTACTATGAGTGAAGATCTGTGCTGGGTACATTGTCATGTACCTCAGACATTGCACAAAAAAGATTTAAAATTGCCAAAAGAGGACCCGAATAGACATTTTTCCAAATAAGACATACAAACAGCCAGCAGATATATGTAAAGATGCTGAATATCACAGATCATCAGGGAAATGCAAATCAAAACCGCAATGAGATACCACCTTATAGCTGTTAGAATGGCTAGTACCAAAAAGCAAGAAAAAACAAATGTTTGTGAGGAGAAAACAAAACTCTTGTGCAGTTGGTAGGAATGTAAATTGGGTACAGTCTCTACGGAAAGTAGCATGGAGGTTCCTCAAAAAATTAAAAACAGAAGTACCATACAATCCAGTAATTTACATGAAAAAAATGAAAACATTAATTTGAAAAAATATATGCATCCCTATGTTTATGTCCACCAGTAGATGAATGGATAAAGATGTGGCATATATATGCAATGGAATGTTACTCAGCCGTGAAAAAGAATGAAGTCTTGCCATTCATGACAACATGAATGGTTCCAGAGAATATCACGTTAGGTGAAATAAATCAGACAGAGGAAAACAAATACCATATGATTTCACTTACATGTGGAATCTGAAAAACAAAACACAACAAACAAACAAAAAACAGAGACAAACTCATAAGTACCCAGAACTGGTAGTTGCCAGAAGCGAGGGAAGTAGGAGGTAGCAAAATAGATGAAAGGGATTAATGGGTACAAACTTCCAGTTATAAAATAAATAAGTCACAGGGATGAAATGCGTAGCATAGAGAATATAGTTAATAATATTGTAATAACTGTGTGGTGACAGATGGTGACTACACTTGTGGTATTTTGTAATATATAGAATTGCTGAACCACTATGTTGTACACCTGAAACTAATATAATACTATATGTCAAAAAAACTGCCAAATGTAGAAGCAGCAGTAGCTGTTGTAATATTAATAAAACAGCAAATTTGGCTCCACCTTTTCTATAGACCCTGGTACATATTCCATTACAGCATTTACTATATTGTTTAGTAACTTAGTCTTTACTTTTTAAGTTTCCCTGAACTTTTTCTGTGGGACTGAAATATTTTTATTCCTTTTTTAACCCTATGGTCAACACTGTTGCTGGTTAAATAAATAAGGGTTAACCCAAGTTTCCAGTAGATCATACAGCAAAATAAAGATGTCAAAATTATAATTTAATCTTTAAATTTCTGGGAAAGAGTGGATTCTAGGGAAAGCATGTTTTGTGAGTAAATTATGTATATGCTCATGTATGTTAATTAACATTTGTCTTTCATAAACTAGGTATCCTGCCTCTATGGTTGTTCTAATAGTCCATACAACTCCTTATCTGCCCTGTCCACATTTTATAGTGATTATTTATGTTTTGTCTTCCAGTATTCTAAGAAAGAGCAAGCCCCATTGAGGTGGTAAATGTGGACTATTAACCTTTGTGTCCCCAAGGTTTATTACAGTCCTTGGCACACAGACCATCCTCAGTAGATTTTTAACGAATGAACGCAGATGTGATGAATTTTCTCAATGTAGTTAGCATAGAAGGCAATATGTTGAAAAGATTAACAAGTGAAATGATTCCATTTGTATGTCTCTACAAAATAGGGAAGATCATATTATGTAGTTTATGCTTGCATTTTAATACCAGATAATGGCCATCTAATGAAAGTTCATCATGCTATATTGGAGGAGACATTATTTCTTCTTTGGGGGAGCTGCTTTTAGCTAAAAGTGACCAACTACTCTTTAGAATGGTTTGATCCCATTTCTACTTTCAGGTGAAGTATCTTTTTAAAGCAAGGGACTTTCAGTCTTAAACTTTGGGTTTCCTTGCCCCAATTCAAATAAAAGAAAACAAAAACTTATTCAGCCATCAGTTTTTTGGGGGTTCAGTAAATGATATAATTATTTGTTAAGACCAAAATCCAGGAGTCATCCTTGAATGTTTTCCTTTCTTCTCCTACCTGCTAAGCCCCTCCCCCAGCCATTAATCATGGCCAGTGTCCAATCAATTAGCAGACTCTATGACTCTGACTCCAAAATATATTCTCAATCTGTCAGTTTTTACCACTTCTTTTCCATTAAGGTCTTGCCTTAATCATTGTAGGATAAGATTGAAGGAAATATTTTTTCAATAGATTGTTAATGGAACAATAACTGGTCTCATTACTTCACAGGACAGCTGGAAAGAGTTTTGAAATCCACTGAAATCCATCAATGGTTTGTCCCTGAACCTAAAATAAAAGCCAACATCCATACCATGTCCTCAGTGCCCTACTTGATCTGGCCTCCACTGAAATCTTCACCTTAACCTACCATCTGCCCTTCTCCATCCACCTCTAGGCCCTAGGCCTTCTTGTCATTGGAACATACTAGGCTTATTTCCATGTGCATGACTGTTATTTTTGCTGTTCTCTCTTCTTAGGATACTATTCTCATGGATTTCCACCAGGTGGATCATTAATTATACAGTGTCTCTCATCTCTTCCTAGAGGCCTTTTTTTTAAAAATAGCATCCCTGCTCCAGTCACCCTCTATCCCATTTCTTTGCTTCAGTTTCTTATTAATAAATTAAACTCCTTATTTCCTCATATTATTTCTTTGCATGCTAACTTGTTTAATGTGTGTCATCTCTCCTAGAAAGAGATTAGGGTTTGTGTCTGCCTTGTTTACTGTTATATCCTCAGAGCCTTGAATGGTAGTTGCTCACTAGGTATTTTTGGAATGATTCAAGGCTATTTCAGTGTAGGAAATGTGCTAGTTTTATGATACGTAGACCAGGGGTGGTGACTGGTATGGGCAATATACCAGATGTATTGAGACTGTGAATTCATACCTCATTGTCCATTCAAGGTTTATAAGAAAATGAAAATATTATATTTCAGACAATTCAGCCTGGAACAGGATTAGTATCCCAGGGGAGAAGTCCACTAACAATTTGAGGAAACCTAATTTGTTCCATTAACAATCTATTGAAAAAATATTTCCTTCAATCTTATTAGATATATAAACATGTTTATGTCATCTGGGGGGGAGATGGGGAGCAAGTCATCTGCTGGGTTTCTATGCCATTACATGTTACATATTACTCTAGGACATTGCTTAATTACTGTAATAAACATTATGTGCACACTGACCTTTTTATCCCTCCAAATGTTTGTGCATGACCTAGGAATTTTCCAAAGTCAATATGAAACATGTGGCCTGACTTTGTCAGCATGATATTGTCGTTATGTCGGTCACAGACTCCCAGGATGAACGTTACCACACACCAGCCAGCACAGGAATAGAAAAAGTTCCTCAAGGCCTAATCAGTTGAAAAACAATAACACAAATATAACACACACACAAAATAAGCAAATGCATTAGCATCAGAGCTAATGGTAAAAACTATCATAAAAAGCAAAATTACATAATCGAGAACTATTTCTACATCTCAGTTAGAGAAGATTATGATTAAATGATTGGTTCTTGATAGGTTACAGAAGAACATGAAGCAACTTCTTCTTTGGCCTAATGGACGTTTTCATTGAAATTGTGCAAAATATCTCTTTTACTCAGTAGGATCTAATTTTCATAGTTTACTAAAGAGGATTCCTGGTGTGGTTTTTTTGATGTCTCAAATATACAATATTGAATGATTTTTTTTCAAGATAAAAGAAGGAACAAAATGTTTCAGTATTGCCTATCCCCAGAGAAATTTAAAATATCTATTTTGAATCTTTGAATTTTTAACACAGAAAAAACCATATTGAGATATATGTAATATTTTATGTTTACCTTTATAAATAGGTAATCCAGTTGCTATCCCAAAATGGTTTGGTATAGTATATATCAATGAATGTCTGTGTGGGTGGAAGTAAATTACTACTGAATCAATTTTGCCTTCTGTTTCTTTAAGAAACAGAGGTTTCTTGCAAAAATTACTCTTTATTTTCAAAATGTTCTCCTGGGTACACATCATTTTCATTAATGATGCAACTTTGACTGTAACCATGGTGTAACCATGAGTGAGTGGTTGGGCCACAGTAATGGGTCTCCTAGAATGGTGTGGCTGACCTGCTGAGGTGGAAATCTGTGTCACTGAACTATACATCTTAGTTCTCGATATCCCAAGTACCTGAACAAGTCATTTAATTTGTCTCTCTAGATATTTTTCACTTATAAAGTGAAGATAATAAAAGATACCCTTACATGGTAGTTGTGAAGAGCAAATGTATGTGAAAATACCTCAAATAATATAACGCCAGAGATTTGTTAAAACTCAAGCTATAATTTTGGGAATGGCTAAAAAATAGATTTCAAGACAATATCATCTTATCTTTGTTATTTGACCTCCAAAGGCCTGTATTTTGTTCTACTCCAACCTCACAGAAGTCTGGAATAGATGAACTCTTGGGTCTCTCTATCATGGCCTGTTCTAACTCGGGTGACTAATCGTCCCAGTTTGCTCAGGACTGAGGCGTTTCCTAGGATGAAGAAATTTCAGTGCTCTGGACAGTTCCAAGCAAACTCAATGTCAGCCTATATTGTATCTTTGTGTGAATTAGCATAAAGGTACCTCTGCTTCCGGGTGGACCCTGTTGTACCAGTTCATGCCTTGGCAAGTAGAACAAAGCCTGGTTTTAACCAACTCATCCCCTTAGCTGGGAACCCTGGTATAGGGCAGAATCTGCACATCTGTACACCGCAGCCCAGATGCCAGCATGAAGTAAAGTAGGAAAAAATGTTTGCAGTCAAATAAAACACTACATTTTGTAAAGTTCTGAGATACTAAAAAAAAAAAAAACAAAAAACAAAAAACAAAACTCTATTATGCCTTCTGCAAACAGTGAAAGAGTAAGGCCTGGAAAAGTAGAGCTCAGCAGAAGAAATGCATTGCAAAGGAAGGAGGGGGATTTATAGAAATTGGAGATTGTGTACAGACATGCAGAGGTAACTTGAAAGAGGTAGTTTCAAGGAGCATCATCTCAGAAGAGATAGCTATAGGAAGTAAAACTGAATACAGAAATTTTACCTAGTTAATATACCATTTTAACTGGATCATTATTACTAAGCTGATGACAGTGAATTAGAACTCAAGGTGTACTTAATTTACTTTTTCATAAACCACATTAGCTAATGATCCAGAGCATATTCTTATTTAGTACATTATTTAAAATTAGCTACACAGCAGGACAAACCTTTTCATAATCTGCCTTTAAATGGTTGTGCTGACTGAACCACTTTTTGATTGTGTTTTCTTTCAATGGTCCTACCAGTCCAGAATGGCGATGGATCTTTGCTAGGGTTATGGCATCAGGTACCATCTGCACCAACCCTGGTTGATAAAAAAGAGATTAAAGAAATAATTCTTTCTTCACAGGATGAGGAATACTTAGGAAACACATCTTGATCTACGTAGCAACAATAGTTGCCAGCACTACGTAGCAACAATAGTTGTCAGCACTACTTTTCTTTGCAAACCTTCTTTTCTGAAGGAGACTTACCTAGATGGACTTTCTAATTTTTCCAAAATCCTAGGGGGCAATGAGGCAATTTGTAGTGTTTGGGATCAGATTTACCAGAAGAAAGAGAAAGAGAAAGAAAGAAAGAATGAACGAAAGAAGAAAGAAAGAAAGAAAGAAAGAAAGAAAGAAAGAAAGAAAGAAAG